TGTTTCCTGCTTATCTCTTTTTAGAAAACATAGTCTGCGTATCCCTTGAAAATGGTGCCTTCTTTGGAGCAGAAAAATATCTCTGAATATACAAAAAGGGATTTGATCTTCTGGCGGCAAAGTTTTTTCAGAGATGTTTTTCTTTTATACCTGCCCCTATTAATTCCTTATCAATCCCAGTTCAAATTGCTGACTTTCCAAGCCAGGAGGTCACGTGGGTCTGTCTCTTTTTTTTTTTTGGGCTCATCCTTCTTCATTTTAAACATGCCCAGCCCAATTTGGGTTTCTTCGAAGCCCAAGTCATCCTCGTGGTTCGATAGTTTCTGGGTTCCCAATGTTGGGTTGAGTGTGTAGTCTTGGCCCATTTATTTGTTGGTGGTTGTCCAAAATTGATATGGGCTTTTTAATTTTTTGGACTGGATATGTCAAATTAGGCCCAAACACATACTAACCTTGAGCACCACGAATGACACAAAAAAACATTAAGGATGCAATTTGATAGTTTTATAAACCTACGTTTTGTGATAATAAGCCTATTTTTTATTCAAGAACACCCCATAACATTTTGGTGGGTGCTAGTGTTGGGAGGAGAAGGGAGAGAGATGTTTTATTTTTATTTTAAAACTTTTTAAAAAAAATTTATATGTATATTGTTTATTTTTTAAATGAATTAATTTTTTAATAATTTGTAGACCGAATTGCCCCTCCACAACTAACAGAAGTTTAAAAAATTTGACAGAAATTGAGAATTGTCCTTAAATTGCTTAAATTGAAATCGCAGAGACAAAATTGACCAAATTGAAACGACAGGAATCAAAAAAGTAAAAGTGGCAAACTATAAGGACCAAAAGTGACTATTTTTTTTTAAAAAAAAATCATAAATAAATAAATCAGTATTCATGCTAAAGAGTAGCTCTTCAGGAAAATTATGCTAACATATGCGCTATATCAAATGAGATTCTAATCCAGAACTTGAGGAACGTCACACTATGTCCATTCAATCTACTTCCCTTTGCTTCCATAAGGAGCCGATGTCCATCAATCCCATTTCTCATTATTATTAACAAAGGATATTGTATGACCCTCTAGCCTTTGCACACTACAACCTTCCATTCCACCAAATGCAACACGGCTACTTTGTTAATAATACTGGAGAAGTGTCACATCCCGGGATCGGCTCTGCCGTAGCACGATATTGTCCGCTTTGGGCCCCCCTCTCTGCCCTCACGATTTTGTTTCTGGGAACTCACGAGCAACTTCCCAGTGGGTCACCCATCTTGGGATTGCTCTAGCCCCAACTCGCTTAATTTCAGAGTTCCCATAACTCTGAAGCCAGTGAGGTCCCAAAAGGCTTCGTACTAGATGTAGACGGGCATGTACATATAAGGCACATCACCCCCTCTCTGTTGGTCGATGTAGGATTTTACAAGAAGTACAGATGAGACTTAGCCTAAAGGAAACTAACTAGGAGGAGCAGCTGGGCTTTGAGGCATACGGAAGCCTTTAACCTCTATAAATGGAGTGCTCATCATGCAAGCAATAACCAACCTTTCAAGCCACTGAAAAACAATTGACTATTTCGGGGTGTTTTGAGGGTGAGTACTAAAAACACATACGATATGGGAAAACGAAGCTCATATTTCTCTTTATTGCGGTTCAACCAATTTGGAATTGTTGTCACTTTTTAAAAAAGTTGATTCTGTTGTGCTTTGAAAATAATTAGCTGTAAAATAAAGCAGCTCCATGTTTGGTAACAATATTTTTAAAGTGCTATTAGTACAAAAAGTAGTGTCAAAATCGTTTGGTAAATTTTAATATAAAATTGTTGTAACTGTCAATAATGACTAAAATAGACATGATGTTGAAAGTGTTATGTACTAATCATGTGGTGGTAGTGGTGGTGGTGGTGATGGAGTGGAGGTAGTGGTGGTAGTGGTGGTGATGAAAGTGGAGTTGGTGATTGTAGTGGTGGTGGTGGTGGAGATGGCGATTGTGGTAATGGTGGAGATGGCGGTTGTGGAGGTGGTGG